ATGCTAGGTCAACACAATATGAGATTTAGGATTATTTCAAATGGTAAAGTGCGAGGTAAATATGTTGACGTGCGAATGTGCAAGTTCAAAATATTGATGTGCGTGGTAAATGTATTAATTTTGAGATTCCAATATGGTAATGTGTGAGTGCAATATGTTAGTGTGTGAGGTCAATATGTCCATAGTGCGAGGGTAAACTGTCAAGAAGAAAGATGCTGATTTACCTACGAGATTGTCAAGCAGTATTTCATGTAAATTGTGTCATTGTGTTGATTGTGAATAAATTCGTAAAAGATATTGTAAAGGGAGCGGCCCACATTTATTTTTTGAGGTATAAACGTTTCTTTGAAAAAAAAAGCACCTTTAAAATTTGTTGATTGATATACCGTATACAAAATGCATGAATTCCATTGCACCATGCATCTGTTTCGTCCTTCTACGACACATCGGGGATGCTGGGGGTTATAACGGTTAAAATCCGAACTGTCCTAAACTACTGGTGAAATAGTAGAGGAGGCGCGTTATACCTGTCCTAAACTACTGGTGAAATAGTAGAGGAGGCGCGTTATACCTGTCCTAAACTACTGGTGAAATAGTAGAGGAGGCGCGTTATACCTGTCTTAAACTCCTGGTGAAATAGTAGAGGAGGCGCGTTATACCTCTTATATATCGGAATTTAAAAAGCAAAATTAACCAGTCCTGTTTAATTTTAAATTAATAGAGAGAAATATGTGTATATTATGAACCGTGCCACTGTTCATGAGAATTGTGGTCATCAATTGTGGCAAACCTCAGGGAACTAAAAAACAAACCAGCAAGATCTACATGAATTAGAGGAGTAGGGTTTAATTTCTAATAAATAATGAGTATCCGTTGTGAACCATGCCATGACTCAAAAAATACAGTTTTTGCTATCAATAAACATTGAAAAAGAAGTTATGATTTCCATTTTCGCTTCTCTAATAAACTTATCCTTACACAATAGTAATATACGAACAAACGACATACACTGTTATCATTCTAACACCCATTATTGAAATAGGGGGATCTAAACCTTGTATTCATAATAGAAGGAAGATAATTGCTGTTAAACAGATGACATACAAATCAAAAATCAAGGCGGATAATTCATAAAAATGTTGTACATGGACCTGTTAATATTTTTTTATAATTTTTTCTTTTTATAATTTGACTGCAAAGAAAACTAATATGGTTTTAAAAGATGCAAGTTTATGAAGAATATGAACACATTTAATGGTCCCTATTATGATCTCATTTTGAAATATGCTATTTTTAGTGTGATAGCAGGTTTCTTTTCCATCTCGCATCAAATGGAATCACATTCAAAGCTTTCACGTAAACTTGATACAATGATGTCATAATGAAGTCAATGATGTTATAGGTTTATTATCCTGCTGATGACCTTATAATTGATTCTCCTGTTTGTATAAAAAGCTGAGTTTAAGTAATGATTTACACAAGTTACATATCACAACGAAATTACACGAACACGCTCACTGCAGTTATGTGAAGAAATGTTTCATTTGTTTTTTATGTCATATTAACAGCTATGGTTATTTAAGGACGTGCCAGGGTTTAGTTCCGGAGTACATGAGGGGTACCCGATAAAAACCAACGATCTGCGGCCAGTACCTGGCGACTGCCCCACGTAGTCCTCGAATCCACGACCCAGTCATATGTAAGACTACTGATCGAGATGGTCAGACGTCTAAGAAACTCGGTCATCGTAGTCCCGGTTTGCTAAAACAATATTATAGACAATATTGAATGGATTATGCTTTAGTGGAGTAGGTATTGGGAAGCAGTGATTATTTGATATTCTGCGGCCAGTACCTGGTATGCAGACTCAGTATATATATCGGCCATTGTTGAACAGAAAGTATCATAAGATCGAAATTAAATAGCACGAAACTGCCTGCGCATCATCAAAATGTACAACTGGAAATAAAGTCATTCTTCCGTATTCTTGCTATGACTCTGAGACCGGGCAGAGACGTATATACAAAACGTTTTTGGAGTTTGCGCCTGTTGCAAAGGAGAACGATATATTGATGGGTTAGCTAAGGCGTCTAGCTATGATGTCTGGTAAACGGATTTAGACAGGAATCATGAGATAAATGATGCTTAACTTGCTTGCTAGAAGATATTTGGTATAGCCGAGGGAGTTATATGAATTTGGTTCACAGTGGGTGATGACACCTATGGAATGGAAACAAGTTTCTAACTGGGCACGTTTCCATCCCTCGGACAAAAACAGCCAACGCGTTAAAAGGTTATGTTTGAGCTGCGATTAACCTGTGATATGGTGAAATAAACGCTTCGCTTCAAATCTTCAAAATGTGATTTTTTGGTTTAAATTGACTATTTTCTTCTCAACAGTACACGTCTCTGTGTTTTTTCTTCACATTATGTGTACATACCGTTACATTGTACTTTATCAAACATAAATTATATATCATACCTCAGTACTGCCTGTTATTATACAAATGTAACATAAAAGTAAATGTAATTACCTAATATTTATATATAAATCATGCATAGTTCTTGTTTGGTTTTACAGATAAAAATCATACTATAACCCCTTCATGGGATTTTCATCAGACTTTAAACTTGTTTGTTAGAAATTATTTCTCTAAACATTCTGTTTCTATTACACTTATGTAAATACCGTTCAGACACCTTCTTGTAACTGTCTCATATAAGAAATCAACACTTCTTTCAGTTTCACATTACATTTATTGTCTTCGTTATTCTTTTCGTTGTTGTACTATACCCAAGTGTTATTTCATAGAATATCTTTTGACAAATATTCGATGATTCTACAAGAAATATCCAAAATATTTAATTTTCTAGTAACCTTAACAGAAGGAAAATATTTGCCGCCATAAAGAGAAATAAAAAATCAAGGCAGATAATCAAAAAAGTGGTACATAGACTTGGTAATATCTATTATAAAGTTATATTTTTGTAATATTTTAACTGCAATGCAAAATTAATGGCTTCAAAAGATACAGGTTAAGGATGTACTCCTCTGAGAAATAGAAACATTTCTTGTATTAAACTATTTTAGAAAAAAAAAGGAGAATATGATAATTTAAATTTACAAAGAAAATCGTATGTCCGTGTTCTCTTTTTTTGTGATCTGTCAAACATACCAATTCAACATAATGTGTGACTTTTGGTGAAATTTATCGTTTTGACCGTATGAAGACCAAATTCATACAATGTCTTTAAAGTGTGCCATCAGCAATTTATGAATTTTTGCATAATTGATGAAAACTGTATTCTTTTCATAATTAAGGTAGTGCAATTTCTTTAACTTATATTGATACCTCAGAAATCCAATTTATGTTACCCCTACCTCCATTTTTGAAGTGCAATAATACTTATTTTTCACCTTTTCTTGCAGATTGAATGATTGATATAAACAGTTCTGGTATTAAATTTTTAATAACATTCAATAGGTCGATTGAAAATGTGTTTATCTTCCTAAAACAATAAAAAAAAA